CGTGTTGTGTCTTGTGACTTGGTTACAAATGGGGAAATGGGGTGCTATTTATAGTAGTAATAAATGCCAGACAGGGACACGTGTCAAGCGTCCATTGGCCGAGAGGTCACCTCAACTGGTTGGCGCTGGCAACCGCATGTGGCCGCATTTAATGCGGCTGTTGGGTGGGACGTTGTACTGGGTACGGTGATCCATACGCATGTGGAGCGGATATTATGTCGGAAAAGGTGCCCTCGGCTGTAGATGACTAGCTGAGGGCTCTGAGTACCGGGGACCCCCTTAGCGCCGAGGGCTCCAGTTGCCGAGGGCTACATATTTTTGTCGTTCTTCCCAGTAACTTTGTTTTCCTGTTTTTGCCCTTCTGTGAGGTTCAGGGCCTTCGGCCAGGGGCCGAAGGCACCCCTGGTGCGCATTGTGGGCTGCTTGGTGCCTTGGGCGCCGTGATTTGGACCTTTTGTGCTTTTTGGGCCTATTGGGCCTTTATTGGAGTAGTAGGAGTCTGTGGGCCGGGGGTTCCCGGGCCATATACTCCATCAAACAGATATAGAAAGATTGTGTCAAAAGATAGGGTTTGTTGGTTTCTAGCGAGTTTATTCATTTCATGTACAACAATGCAATAGATATTCATTTCATGTACAACAATGCAATAGATATTCATTTTTTATGAACTGCCAACTTTTAATATGTCACTTTTATTTTTGTAGGGATATGAGTTATGAAAGTAATCTTGGAGTTGAAAACTTGTTGTAGACTTGAGCTGATTATTTTTTAGCTTTGGAGATAAATATGAGACTTGGTTTAAACCTAGAGTTTTGTCTTGGAGATTTGTTTTCGTATATCAGTTCTAGTCTATGCAGTCATGTATTTGTTAACACTGGTGTATTCTTGTATTTCTATTATCTTCTTCAAAATTTGATCTACTTCTAGATTTTTGTTTATGATCATAGATGTTTTATGGTTTAGAAAATTATGATTTTTGTTTAGAAAATTATTTTAGCAATGATTTTATGGTTTTTGGTTAACCGGTTTGTGTTCAACCGAAGTTTTGGTTAACCGAGTATCGGTTAACCGAAGCTTTGGTTAACCAAATCGCGGTTAACCGAAGTAACCGGTTTCTCGGTTACCGGAAAGTTGGTTAACCAAAACACGGTTAACCGACAACGCCCACCCCTATATGGAGCACAATGGGGTACGCAAAATCTACAATATATGACGAATTTGCGGGATGAAATTGCTAATAGACTAGTAGAGAATGTTTAAATTTAAAATGTTGTTCTCGTAAAACTTTTGACTTTTTCTCATCATGTAATGTTACTCTTTTATTAATGTAATTCATAGTATTATTATTTTTAGGCATGTGAAATTATTTATCGGTAAAAGAAAAGTAAACAGACAATATATATTCAACACTTGTTCTAGACAGGAGGGTTATTTGGTCATTTGACATCATTCAGACTTCTCATTCAGACAATATATATCCAACACTTGTTATGTCAGTATCACTTAATCCAGACAGACAACTTAATGCAGACAGACGTCTTAATCCATTCAGGACTTAATGAAGAAAAAAATTAAACAACCCCTTAGTCCTTTTAGGAGCCAGCCGATGCATTTATATATATTTAGGGAGCATGTGTAGCTCTCCTATTTACAAGGTATAGAGATAAGTACAAGTGAACCACTAAAGAATAATTACAAAGAGATAATTAAATAATATTAATGTATTAATCTATCAACAATTACTTCTTCATTCACATATGACACACATATAATTCATGGGTCAGAAATTAATGGGTCAGATACTAATAATACATTTGGAGTTGGAATACTAATGGACATCCACACATTAAACAATATACTCTCTTGGATGTACATTGCTAAAAAACATTACGAGAAAAATATACTAGTACATTATTCCCTTTATACAATTCAGTAATGCTACCTCGTTAAAAACCTTGTCGAGAAAAACTCAGTGAGACAAAACTCTGATCAAGAGAAAAAGAGTGAAGCGCGTATATATATACTCCCTCCGTCCCTTAAAATCTTGTCATCTTTCCTTTTTGGGACGTCCCAAAAAACTCTGCCACTTTCTCTTTTAATCAATTATTTTGTGCTTTCTGTTATTTCTTTCCTCTGAACAAACCTCAACCACAGAATTTTTACTTTATTATTATCTGTGTCGGTCAACTTTGGCAAAGTTTTAAGGGACGGAGGTAGTATATATTTCGCCTATTGTATACATCACATCCGGCCTTCTTGTTGAATCCAATCCAATTCAATCCACACTGGTTACTAACTTCTTGAATGAATTTTCATACAATGTGGATGCCTCGTTAAATAAAAACCTTGTTGGAAAATCTTTTGAGAAAAAAGCAACCAAGGAAAAGAGTGCATAATATATGTAAAACAATGTGTTATACTGACTGCTTCATTAAAAACCTTTAACTAATTAAGAAAAACACCTGAGAAAAAACTTACTACCTCCGTTCCATTAATATTGGGACAGAAAGGGGTGGCACGGTTATTAAGAAAAATAGATTTGTGTACTTGATATTAATTGATAAAGTAAGAATACAGTAAGAATGATTTAGACCGACACAAACTTTACGAAATTTTGTATAAGACAATTTAAATGAGATTCCTCGAGAAGGTAAAATGGGACAATATTAGGGGAACAAAGGGAGTATTAAAGGAAATGAGTACAACCATTAGCCTTTAGGGTATCTCTTAAATAGTTAAACACTACATTAAAATATTGGACTACTCCTCCTATTAGATTGACCTTTTAGGGTGGATTCTGGGGTCTTAACATGGTATCAGAGTCAAATCGATCTATGATGTGGTCTCCTATGAAAAATGGTGACACAATTAAAAAAATGAAAATGACGAACATATGAGAAAATGAATGAGGCCACGATCTAGACGAAGTGTCTAGGCGTGAGAGGGGTGTTGTTGTCCCACTCCGGATATATCTTAAACATGAAACACTATATTAAGATCTTGGACTACTCCTTCTATCAGATTGACCTTGTAGGGTGGAACCCCAGATCTTAACATGTCTTAGGACTACTCCTCTGATCGATCTGATGGATTGTATGAACGATCGTATTCTATGTGTCGATCGTCGAATGAAGGGGTAGTGGCGTCCAAGTGGATTTAGATCTAGATTTGGATCCGTGATTGTTTTAGGGTAATCTCCAACAAAGTTTTGCACACAAAATGTTGGAGGGAGATGTTTGGTCTATTGATAATGACGCACACGTGGATGATGTGTGGTTATCAATGGAGTCCACCATTAACAAAGTGGCGAAGGAGATACTCGGAGAATCTAAAGGATGTCTACCACCAAAAAAGGATACATCTTGGTGGAATGATGAGGTGAAACAAGCAATAAGGGCCAAAAGAGAATGCTATAAAAATTGGGCAAAAGTTGGAGCGACGAGAACATAGAGGAGTACAAAGAGGCTAGAAGAAGAGCAAAGAAAGCTGTGAAGGAAGCCAAAGGAAAAGTGAATAAGGAATTGTATGTAAAGTTGGATTCTAAGGAAGGAGAAAAAGATATCTACAGACTTGCTCGCCTTCGTGACCGTAGGACTCAAGATATCGGAAAAGTTAAGTGTGTGAAGGATGTCGATCAAAGGGTACTAATGGACGATGAAGAAATAAAAGAGAGGTGGAGGTCATACTTTAATATCTTGTTCAACGGGAATAAAGTCCAAGGTATTGATGATCTTACTATACCAGAGTGTATGCTAAATAGGGACTTCGTGAGAAGGATTCAAACAACAGAAGTTAAAGAGGCTATGAGAAAAATGGGCCGGAAGAAAGCAGTGGGCCCAGATGACATACCGATCGAGGCTTGGAGAAGTTTGGGAGAGAAAGGCATCGAGTGGTTAACACGTTTCTTCAACATGATTTGGAGAAACAACAAAATGACAATGAGTTGGCGGAAGAGTACTCTCATTCCCTTATTTAAAAATAAGGGTGATGTACAAGAATGCGCTAACTATCGAGGGATTAAGCTTATGAGTCACACAATGAAACTTTGGGAGCGAGTGGTTGAGAAAAGACTACGTAAAAGTGTGAAAATTTCGGAGAATCAATTTGGTTTTATGCCTGGACGCTCAACAACTGAGGCCATTCACCTTCTTAGACAAGTTGTGGAGAAGTATAGAGACACTAAAAAGGATCTGCATTTGGTGTTCATTGACTTAGAAAAGGCATATGATAGGGTACCTCGAGAAGTTCTTTGGTGGGCCTTAACTAGAAAAGGCATATCACGTAAGTATATCAGCATCATCATGGATATGTATGATGTTGGTACTACAAGTGTAGGGAGGATCACAGAGTTCCCTATTACTATTGGAGTGCACCAAGGATCTGCTCTGAGTCCTTTCTTATTTGCTTTAGTCATGGATGAACTTACGAAGTCAATTCAAGAAGATATACTGTGGTGCATGATGTTTGCCGATGATATTGTATTGATTGATTAGACACAATCCGGTGTTAAAGCAAAGTTGGAAGTATGGCGACAAACATTGGAGAGCAAGGGTTTCAAACTGAGCCAAAGCAAGATTGAGTATATGGAGTGCAAGTTCGGTGTGTGATATGTTCCGTTACTTGGGATCCATAATTCAGAAGGATGGTGAATTAGATGGAGATGTATGTCATAGAATCAGAGCTGGGTGGATGAAATGGAAAAGTGCTTCAGGATTTCTAAGCGATCGAGGTATGCCGACTAAACTGAAAGGTAAATTTTATCGTAAAGCAATTAGGCCGACATTAATGTATGACGTAGAGTGTTGGGCGGTGAAGCAATGCCACATTCAAAAGATGAGTGTGACAGAGATGCGTATGTTGCGTTGGATGTGTGGACATACCAGAAAAGACCGCCCGAGGAATGAGGTAATCAGACAAAAGGTGGGAGTAGCACCTATAGAATATAAGATGCAGGAATCTCGTTTGCGGTGGTTTGGGCATGTGCATAGAAGACCGAGTGATGCACCTGTTAAACGACTTGAGTGGTGGGGAGAAGAGTCAGAGAAGAGAGGGATGGGAAGACCCAAACAGACTTGGATTAGAGTAATCAGAACTGATATGCGTCTTCTTGGGTTGAATGAGAGTATGGCTTTGGAGAGAGCACATCCATGTAGACGATTGATGTCTTGTCTACCTTTCCTCTCTTGTTTCTTTTATCGTTTATCTTCCTTATATTTTTATATTTTTATGTTATTTTTATCTTCTAGCTTTTTATGCTCTTTTATTTATTTTTCTTTTATCTTGGTTATATTCTTGTGTTATTGTTATCTTATATTTATGTATCTTTATTTTATTCATTTTATCTTACTTTTTTTCCTTTTCTTGTCCACCTTCTCTTTTTGGCATCGATATCATAGATCGATTCATGTTAGCCAACCCCAAATTCTTTTGGGATTAAGACTTGGTTGTTGTTGTATTGTTTTAGGGTAATGGAAGGGGTAGCGGCAGCTGAGTGGCGCTATATAGAGAACGACAATTCCAGTCGAGGCACGGTCATCAAGGATGATGGAGGAGGCAATTGGGTTCAGTTGCAGCCGACGGAGAAGGAGAACATGAAGATTTGCGGCAGGGAGGCGGCGTCGGAAGAACGGAGGTGGTGAAGAAGAAAGCGGTAGTCGAGAGAGGAAGAAGGAGCCTATGAAGAAGAGGATGCCGAAGAAATAAGAAGAGGATGCGTAAGAAATGTGGAAAAAGAGAGAGGACGGCGGGGTTTGTTAAGTCACTTATTTGTCCAAATCTAAATTGATAATATTTTTGTCCGACCAAACTCTAGCAGTAATACTATACCATTTTTCAATTAACTATCTACCGATTTTTTTCATTTTGTAAATGGAATTATTTTGGTACCGACGATTCTTTTTGAAAAAAAATTATGTTTCACGTGATCTTTCATGTTCCACTATTTCCTCGGGAGTCACGTGGTTCTACGTACACGCTCCCGCGTTTGAACCTTCCCTCCCTTCTGTCCTCCTTCTCCATCAAGGCGCGTTGTCATCACAAACCCCAGAAAAATGGCGTCGGCATTTCTTTATATTGCTCGAGCCCGGCGTTCATTTATTTCTGATCCGCAATCGGAATTCCTTGATTTCAGCCACTTTTTATCCTTCCCAAAGCGCTCCCTGTTAAGGTAACTCTACACTCTATTGCCCACAATATGATAGATCTCCTTTGTGCTTTTGATTCTGTGGTATATTTTGAAATTTAATATTCAATCTTTTCTATCTTTATTTGCTTCTTTCGATTTTTTGTTAAATCCACCGTATTGGTGAATCTAAATTCTAATGCTAGGCAAGATGAGGAATCAATGGTTGCTGGATTCGCAAACTCGTGGAGGATAAATTTTATTTCCCCCAAATCAGTAAAAATAGTAATTAAGGGGCAGAAAATGCAGATGCATTGTTTTAACTGATGATAAATGTTATTATTTCTTACCATTAGAAACTCAAATAGTTCTCTTGCTTGCAGGCCTAAACCACATATCTGCATTGCTCCAGTTGATCTTGGTCAAACTGCTTAGCTTAATAGAAAGGGGAGAATTGTATGTCGTTATACGTAGTATCAATGTGTGTGGTTATTTTGAATGTAGAGATCAAAGGAATGCGGAAACATGTGCAACTTGTGCACCTCGAAACAACTTAGGGGGAGTTTGATTCTCTGAATGTGAGGTAGCGGAGGTAATATACCAATACCATCATTATATTGCATCCCTCGGGTTTTGATCACAGCTATTCTATTTAGAGTTCTAAAAAGCGTCCGTTAAGAGGGCTCAGGGCAATAGATTTGTGCCTAGCATAAGGTTTTGTGCTTTGATGGCCCATGGAGGGATGACTTCTCTTATGGAGAGATATGAATTAGGAAGGCTACTTGGGCAAGGCGCGTTTGCTAAGGTATACTATGCCAGGAGCATCATAACGGGACAAAGTGTTGCCATTAAAGTCATAGACAAGGAAAAGGTTTTGAAGGTTGGATTGACAGATCAAATCAAACGGGAGATATCCGTTATGAGGCTTGTGAGGCATCCAAACATCATTTTACTCTATGAAGTCATGGCCACCAAAACCAAGATTTATTTCGTGATTGAATTAGCCAAAGGTGGTGAGCTCTTCAACAAGCTGGCTAAAGGAAGGTTAAAAGAAGATGTTGCCAGGAAATATTTCCATCAGTTGTTAAACGCGGTTGACTTTTGTCATAGTCAAGGGGTCTATCATCGTGACTTGAAACCCGAAAATTTACTCTTAGACGAAGATGGAAACATGAAAGTCTCTGATTTCGGTTTGAGTGCTCTTGCTGAATCGAAGCGCCAAGACGGGCTACTTCATACCACATGTGGGACACCTGCCTATGTGGCACCCGAGGTCATCAACATGAAAGGGTATGATGGCGCGAAATCAGATATATGGTCATGTGGGGTCATCTTATACGTGATGTTAGCCGGGTATCTTCCATTTCATGAATCAAATTTGATGAAAATGTACAGGAAGATTGGAAAAGCCGATTTCCGATGCCCGAATTGGTTCCAACCAGAGCTTCGGAGGCTACTTTTGAGAATGTTGGATCCTAACCCTTCTACTAGAATTTCTATTGCTAGAATTCGAGAGCATCAATGGGTTAAAAGGGGAATGAAATCTCAATTTGATCATGCTAGAGATGAAAAACAAGAATCACTGAGAGTATTGAGTTTAAATGCATTTGATTTAATCTCTCTTTATTCTGGCTTTGACTTGTCAAGGTTATTTCAAGAAACTTGTTTGGAGAAAGTGTACTATATCACTTCCTCAAAACCTCCATCCACCATCATAAACAAACTGGAACACATTGCAAAAAGTCTGAAGCTGAATTTGACCAAAAGAGATGCAGGAGTTTTGAGGTTTGAAGGAGCCAAGGAAGGTAGAAAGGGGACATTGTCCATTGATGCAGAAATCTTTGAGCTCACTCCTGCTATTCATTTGGTGGAGTTGAAGAAATCCAACGGGGATTTGCTTGAATATGATCAGATAATAAATGATGGCATAAAACCTGTACTCGAAGACATTGTATGGGCCCCAAAGCAACTGAAACTGGCCACAATGGAATAAAACCTTTATTCTAATACAATTACGGAAATTCAATTAAATGCACACACCTTGTACATTGTTATGGGCCACCGTCACTAATTTGTGTTTTTTATTTACCATATTTTTTCTTGAGCTATCCTAGGTAAGTAGGTGTTCTTGCCGGGTTTAGAGTTGGAAATCAATGTCATCTTTAACAAACGCTGATTGTTTGTACAGGTTATATATATTGTTAGAATTATAGATTCTCATGTTCATTTATCTAATAACCCTCTTTAATGTGCAACACTGCAACGGAAGGGATTTCATTTCTCCAATAATTCGAATGCATTAACAAACATACTCTCAATTCTTTTACTCTTATGATATGTTTCTGAAACAATATGAACGAATGAGTTTACGTCAAAGAGATTATTGAGAATTGAACAAATCGATTAATGAATTCATAGATATATTTTATGTTGCTGTGGACTAGGGCTGAGCAAAACCGACCCTACCCGAATAACCCGATCGGGTGAACCCGATTTTTTGTGATTGGGTCGGTTGACCCGACCCGAACCCAGTGACCCGCCCCGCCCACCCTATACTTTTTGGACCGACACCCAGCGGGTAGGGTCCTCCTAATCCCTACCCGAACCGCCCGAAAACCCGACCAAGCCTAAGCCCATTACCCAACTCCCCAACTACCCAAGCCTATAAGGCCATTACCCAACTCCCCAAGCCCATTAGCCCACTCCCTTAGTCCCTTTCCGGCTTTCCCTTATCCCCATTTCCCTTCGCCGGTTAACCACTTAACCCTAACTTACACTCTCAGACTCTCTCTCTCTCTCTAACTCTCTAAGCGGCTAACCCTAATTTGGTCTGACTTCTCACTTCGTCGGCCGCCGTTGCCATCGTTGTAGGGCTGTAGGCCTGTAGTCCTCAACCGAGTGGAAGCCTTCATCTCCTTGTAGGGTTTACCGTCTCTACTCTCTAACCTAGTGGAAGCCTTTCATCTCCTTCGTCTCGAGCCGTTGAGGTATAAAATACTTATTTCGTTATTCGTATTATGGTAAGTTTAGTCCTTGATGATGCATGGATGTTCTGAGTTGTGATTAGTCTTGTGATGTTCGTATATTTGTGAAACTTGCATGTACAAATCTGTTCGAATGTTCGGTTATTCACTTATCCAGTTGTCCCTGTTAATTGTTGATGTATATTATGATGCATTCAGAATTTCAAATCTGTTTATTTGAAATATGAATGAAGTGTGGAAGCTAATCAAGCTATATATTCTATATTCATGTGTTGCCTACTGAGTACTGACTACGGTTATCCAGTTGTCCCTGTTATGTTGTTTGTTGTACATAAGTAACATAACTTCCTTATTATTTTGATGAAGAAGCCTTTTTCAACTCTAGTACTCAAACGAGTACAAAGAGTGAACTGGGTTCTTCAGAGTCTGTAGAGAAGTGAAAAAGCAAAGTGCTTTTATCCTTCTGTAAATCAGCTTGCTGATTGTTCCAGACTTACATATTATGGTTATTATTTGTGAGATATGAACTCTGTGGAAGCTCTTACTGACTGCATATGTACAACTCTTATTCATGTGTTGCGTACTTGCCTTATCTGTGAGGTATGAACTCTGTGGAAGCTTAGTATACACATATCAATATATCATGTGTTGCTTACTTGCTTACATTAGAGGGACCCTGAAGAATGTGTGACCTTTTCTACATTTGGATCTCAACCTCCTCTGAGTCAAGAAACAGTGGTGGAAAGTCAAATTCCTGAGCCTAACATTACCAATGAGCAGACTGCACCACCTGCTGTTTCTGGACAAAAGAGAAAAGTGGTTGACAAAAGATCTAAGATTTGGGATCACTTTGATGAAATTAAGGATGAAAAGGGTGTGGTTATTAAGGAGAGGTGCATATACTGTGCAAAAATATACTGTTGTCACTCTAAGAAACATGGAACTTCCTCCATCAGAAATCACATGCTTAATTGCATGAAACCCCCATGCTAAAGACACTAGACAAGCCCTATTAACCTTCCAGCCTGTACCTCCACAGACAGGTGAACCATCTGGAAAGACTGGGGTCATGGGAACTTGGGTATTTGATCAACAAGCTATTAGGAGAGCTCTAGGTGAAATGCTAATCATTGATGAGCTTCCTTTTAGATTTGTAGACAGACAAGGTTTTAGGAATTTTGTTGCTGCAGCCTGTCCTAGGTTTCAAATTCCTTCTAGATGGACAATTGCTAGAGACATTTTTCAAATATACCTTGATGAAAAAATGACTCTAAAAAGGAATTTTAGGGAACAAACTCAGAGAGTTAGTATAATGTATAATGACTTCTGAGCTCTCTGATTATGTATAATGTATTATGAGTATGTATAATCTGTATAGGTTTGAATGTTTGAATGTGTATGCACATGAGTACATGACTCTCTGATTTGGCATTATGTGGTAGTTTTTCCATGTGCATTCTGACTTCTGAGCTCTCTGATTATGTATAATGTATTATGAGTATGATTATGTCATTCTGGAAAGCATTCTGGCAACTGTGAACTGTCCCTGGACTGTTGTCCCTTGCTCTGACTTGTTCAGGTTTTGTGTAAGTAACTCATAATCCCATTAATCCTTGACTATATCATTTCTATTAAATTTCATTGGCTATGATGAAGCTTCCACACATTACTGAATGTATGGTTTAAGGTTGGTATAGCTCTTTCAGTTCACAACATGTAAGTTGTAACTGAAATTGTAGCAGTTGCCCCTATATTCCTGATGAAGGATAACAAGCATTCTGAGTCAGTGATTTTTCTGATTTGTTATTTTGTTTCATTAACTTATCCAAGTTACTCTGACTTATTATACATGTATAATTGACTTATTATACATTTATACATATGCAGGTGGAAACTTGAAGCTGGTGAAGGATGTTAATGAATTATGTAGCATTTTGTAATTTGTTTAAGTTTGTTCTAAAGTTTGTTTATTAAACTTTGTTCTAATTTTGTAATTTTGCGTACTTGTATTAAATTTGTTTATGAAGCTGTGTATTCTTTACTTTGTTCTATAAGTTTAAAAGACTGGTATCAAATTGCCATATATTTTACTTGAACATTTTGTCTATGAACATTTTGTATGAGTTACTTCAACCCGACATAACCCGATACCCGAACCGAACCCGCCCTACCCGAAGCTCATTAAAACCCGAAAAATTTAGGGTAAAAAAACATAGAGTAGGATAGACTAATTACACATCCGATACCCGAAAGGGTCGTGGGTTCACCCACCCGCCCGACCCGAACCCGCCCGATGCTCAGCCCTACTGTGGACTCGAGTATATTTATATATGCTTTAAGTTAAATCAAGATACTAGAATATCTATCAAGAAATATGTTTCCCCTCGACAAAGGTCCCAAATACTATAAAATTAGGGGTGGACTGGTTCCGGTTCGGGCCTGGGCCCGGCCGGGCCTCGGTTCATGAAAGGGGAGGCCCGGAACCGGCCCGGGTAACCCCAGGTCCGGGCCGGGCCGGGCCTCGGTTCTTATATTTTTTTTTTGGCTTTTCCTAATTAACCCCCAACCCTCCCCCCTCACCCCCAAACTCAGCCCAACCAAAAAACTTAAAAAAAATTCAAAAAAAAAAGAAAAAAAAATAATTTGGCCCGGACGCCCGAACCGGCCGGGCCGGTTCACGATTTAGGAGGCCCGGGCCCGGCCCGCCTACCTCACCGGGACGGGTGGCCCGAACCGGGCACCAACCGGTTCACCGGGCCGGTCTGGGCCCGCACAGTAACGGGCCGGTCCGGTTCCGGGCCGGTTGGCCCGGCCCGAGTCCACTCCTATATAAAATTGCAGAAATTAGGAAGCAACAACTCACAAGACATGGTGTTGGTGCTACAACAATATATATTTATAATCTCTACTTCACACCGTCGTACAACTCAATAAGAATAATCGCAGTTCATCCTTACTAAATTGCACAAGACGTCCGATAGATACATATGTCAAAACCGATTAGTAAACATACATAACAACATCAACATACAATTAAACACATAGCGGAATATAAGTGTTTAATAAGAACCCACACAAGGGTAAAACAAGAGCTCGCAGACTCCATTAATTTATAAGTCAAAAATATTTCCATGAGCATTATTTAATTATTTAGAAATAGAACTAGAGGAAGCACGAACCACGTCTTCTCTCCATCGATCTCCCGAACAACGGGTGTAGGAAGTAAGCTCTAGCATCAACCTGAAAGGGTGGTTCCCCCGAGGGATCAGTACTACAGAATAGTACTGGTGATGCAAACTGTATGTAATATAACTAACGTTTCTCACATGGGACCCTCAACATAAGGTGATAGTATATGTATATGCATAACTCTTGGCTACCCCTTTTTAAAACATATTGTATACATATATACATATGAGTAAAATATCCGGCCCATGAGCCCATTTGTCTTTCAAATCATTTAGGCGTAACAACCTCATTAAATACACCCTTCTCATGTCCTACCCTCGAGTGGAGTCATCCGCAGGCTAACTCACCCGATAACAAAGATAATTATTATGGGGGGCCCTTCGGGCTCCCATATCACAGACATGGTTTAAATTAAATTCCTAGACCAAGGAAAATACCATATCGGGAACTCATTCCCGATCACGCATGTTTAATCATCTAAAATCATTACCTTGAGGTTCACCTACCTCGAGGACTATCCGTCCTTACAATCATAGTTTACATTCCTGGGGATAACCCCGCCTTGAGGAGTACGCATACACCCTCATCCTATGTGTAATTTGCTGGAGGTTAACACACCTCAAGGACTAGGGGTCCTTGTTACCTATATGCAATTTGATGGAGGATACCACACCTCAAGAACTGCACTTGCTCTTGTTACCTATGTGTAATTTTCTGGAGGTTAACACACCTCAAGGACTACACGAGCCCTTGTTACCTATATGCAATTTGATGGAGGTTAACACACCTCAAGGACTGCATTTGCTCTTGTTACGTGTGTGTAATTTGCTGGAGGTTAACACACCTCAAGGACTACACGGGCTCTTGTTACCTATATGCAATTTGATGGAGGTTAACACACCTCAAGAACTGCATTTGCCCTTGTTACCTATGTGTAATTTGCTGGAGGTTAACACACCTCAAGGACCAGTGGTGGACCCAGAGATTTGTGAGAGTGAGAGCACACTAGACACCAAAGTTAGTCTATAACAAAATCTCCAAATCTAATAAAGATGGTTAAAAAAATGTATTAAATTATACATAATAGTTAATTACACATTAAATAGATCACTGCTGCAACTTTGGTAAATCGAGCCTACGAGTT